TATTTATGACTTTCATCTACAAAAAAGTACTCCGAAAGTAATTACATATCGAGATTTTAAAAATATTGATTACGTGCAACTGGAAAAGGAGGTTGATTCCATTGACTGGAAGGTTATATATAACTTTACTTCAGTCAATGATCAAGTACCTTTCTTCAAACTCATGTAACGTATCTTTTGAATAAATCTGTACAGCTAAAACGAAAATTATTAAAAACCGAACACGATTCTTGGTTCAATCAAGATATTGAGGAATTAACTGAACGTCGCGATAGAGCATATAATCGATGGAAAAGGTATAAAACCAATGAACTGTACGACTGTACGACGGCATTGGAAAATTAAAAAAATTCTTCAGATGATACCGTAGACCCGAACATGCTTAATACAAATTTTATCAACACTCCAGAATGTGAAGCAGACGAAGCAAGTTACAATGAAGCAAACAATGCGTCTAATGTTAATAAAGAGTTCAGCTTCACTTGTATAAGTCAGCTTGACGTTTTGGAATGTTTGCTAAAGGTAAACTCTAATGCTTTTGGTTTAGATGACATCAACCCAGTTTTCTTAAAAGCACTTTTACCTAAACTGTTACCTTATATAACTCACATATACAATACTGTACTTACTGCTAGTATTTTTCCCGATAACTGGAAAATAGCTAAAATTATACCGCTTTTGAAAGAAAACAAAGATTATCATCCCATTCCTGTCCAAAGGTCTTGAAAAAATTATGTATCAACAAATCGGAAAATAGCTGCTATAATTTCTACCGCTTAGACTTTGTTGCTTTTTCAATTTTTCCTAATAAACAATCGTGGTACAAAGCTCAATAAAAATACTGCAAATTTGTATTTGAAAATAATCTACTGAGAGATGAACAATCAGGGTTTAGACCTAGAAGAGGTTGTGTTACTGCACTAATTAGGGTCTCCGAAGACATTCGAGCTGCTCTCGAAGACAATAAAATTACTTTTTTTAACTTTGTTGGACCATTCAAAGGCTTTTGATATGGTGAACCAGAAATTGCTTTGTACTAAACTCAAACAGCTGTTTAACTTTTCACCATCGGCAGTTAATTTGATCTTTTCATATCTATCCACGAGAACACAGGCTGTTTACACCAACATTTTACCTGACTTTTTACTTTTAAAGAAAGGCGTGGAAAGGGTTCAATCCTAGGGCCATTGTTCTATCCAATTTATATTAACGACTTACCAGACATTTTAGATACCTGCAAGATACATATGTACGCAGATGATGTTCAACTTTATGCTAGCTGCTTACCGTCAGAGACTGAGTCTTTGCTAGATAAAATAAATAGCGATCTTGACCATATTCATACTTGGGCTTCTAAAAATGGCTTGGTAATCTGTATGCCTTGTAGTACACAAAAAATCTTAGACACTGGACAAATGACGAAACCTAGCATTGACCGATCTGAAATTTCTTTTACTGAGAAAGCTAAAAATTTAGGCTTATCTTTAACAAAACCCTCTCGTGGAACGATCACATTAACCAAATGTGTGGAGTTGTTTACGGTATATTAAGATCGCTGTGGTCAACGCAATTTCTGGTTCCACTTAAAACTAGAATGCTTTTGGCGAAAACATATATATTGCCTACATTGTTGTATGGATGTGAGCTATTTGCCAGCTCTGATTGTTCAAGTCTAAATAAGCTCAGGCGTCTGTATAACAATGTTATTAGATATGTTTTTGGTTTGAAGGGAAGAGATCATGTGTCCGAGTACGCGAAACGTCTCTTTGGATTAACTTTTGAAAACCTCTTAAAACACAGAGTGATTACACTTCTGCATAAAATTTTATTTAGTCCCACCCAAATATTCGCTGCTGGTGTCTAGTCTTCAGTTTTTCATATATGCCATAAGTCTTTGGAGTTCATTGCCCCAAACTTTAATAAATATTAGCAATGCTTCGCATTTACGAGATGCTCTACATCTTCACTACAAAAATAGTACAAAATAATATGTTCTATTTCTTTAATTTTTAACCACCAAATTCTAATTTTTAAGCACCAAATTGTTTTAAATTAATTTGTTTTAAATTGTTTTAATTTAGTTATTAGTCCTATATATATTTTAATTGTTAATGTTATTTTTATACACAAATTTATACATTTATTTACTCGTAATTATGTTATCATTTTATTTGAATTTCAACTCATCAACTTCAGAAGTGAAACTCGTTGTTTGGTACGTTAATGAGATAATTATAATCTTGTGTACTAAAGTTGAATAATAAATAAACTAAACTAAAGTAAACTAACCGTCAGGTCCTGTCGAAGTACCTTACACAGCCTGGCAGACTCTTTCATGTTGTCGATATCACTGCAGAAGTCTTTATAAGAGCTTAATTTTGACTTGTGAATTTGCCTCTTATATTCCTTCCGCACGATATGATATTCAGACTAGTCCTCCCCTTTTCTGGTTTTTAAAGTCCTATTCAGAAGTCTCATAGACCTTTTTCGAAGTTTGGTGAGTTCAGCGTTCCACCATGGGACCCTGCCTGCTTCTTCTTAGCGGACATACTTCCTCAAAACAACCAATCAAATTACTCCTTACCTCGCGGGTCGCCTCTTCAATTGATTTAATGTTTTTCAGTTTACGGAGATTTGGTATTCTCGTTTCAAGGAGCAACCCAAACTTTTCCCAGTCAGCCTTTCGAGGATTCCGACCTTTTGGCACTTGACAAGTGTCAGATCCTAGCCGAAACTCGCTGAATCGATGATCTGATAGAGATTCGTCATCTAAGACCAACCATCCTTTGATATGATCCGCCATAACTACATTGGTTCACCCAGAGAAAAAACAACATAAAATCAAAAAAAACGATATTGATTCAATAAGAAACATTAACGAAAGTCTAGTAATGTCGAAAATTCTTATTTCAATACAGCACAACATTATTTTAATGTTGCGCAATATCCAACGTATTTAATATTTTTCGGCATTGATTTAATATTTGATTCTTATCGAATTGATTTGTCGGTTTATTGAATCAATATGAAAGAAATATTAAATTAATAATGAGCCAATTATTAATGTTAAATGAAAACGTTATTAAATTAAAAACGTACGTTATTAAATTAAAAACGCACGTTATTAAATTAAAGACGCACGTTATTAAATTAAAAACGTACGTTATTAATATAAATTACGAAATTGTAGACCCCTTCCTCTCCTTTACTACCCCCTTTAAGGAAATAAAAACACAATATAATTTACAAAATAGATCAAATTTAATTCAAAAGATTTCATGAAAGTACAATGTAACATCTATGCTAAATATTTTTGCCTTACATATGTTTTACCATTACATAGCGGATATAGATGTAGAGGCGAAGTATTTAATTCTGAAAATGTTTTTATTTCTAAACTTTCGTTTAAACAACCAATTTCGTACGATTGGAAATGTGAACAAAATTTTTTTATGAAAACTTCTTGACATAAAAAATAAGCTATGCTATTTTGATACAAAAACATTTTTATTTTATATAACTTAAATGCGCTGCTATGTAAGTTCGTGGACAAATAATAATTTTTTTTTATATTTCGTTCCACTATAAAAAAGTTCATAACAATATTGTATTCTTTTCTGGTCGATATCGTATGTTTGAGTTATTTTAGAGAAATAGTGTTGTTTGGTAATATCATTAAATTCTTCTGATTGAAAGCTTATGATAGGTTCGATTCCATTTTCATAATCTAGCAAGAATTTCGAAAATTTAATTCCCGATTTTATTGCTAAAGAATAAGGTGGGTTTATTCTTGAAGTTGTATTGTTTAAGTATGCCTTAGCTTCTTTATGTTTTCCTTCAAACCGCATCGACCAAACATATTTTAAAGGCCCACATTTTCTTATTGCCGTACAATAATGCACAAGGAAGTGGTGTTTAGGCTTTAGTGCACCGTAAAGTTTAATATAAGTTGAATGGTGTGCTTCAATTAAATCTTGCAAGACAACCAAGTCTCCCTCCAAGTATGATGGTCTCAAAATGTAATCAATAATTTTCAATAAAAGAATAAATAATTCCCAGTGACAATTACCCACTGGAATGAATCTCCTATCATAAGGGGTAAAAAGTGAACGAAAATTTTTGTTTCACTTGCAGTCATTTTTAGATTAAATGATTTCAATCTCTCAATTTGCAACGGCATTGAACTGTTACCTATTTCCGTTTCACCGAAAGGAAAAAGTTGCTTCCTACTATTTATTTGGTCTATACATATAACTTTATCCTTTATAAGGCCCAACAATATATTGCAGATGTCATAAGAACAAATTCCTTCGAAAACATCGTGCATTACATCAAAAGTAATATTTTCTGTGACATGAAAATTGTTCAGTCTATTAAAAACACAATCAGACTTGATGCCTGTTTCTTGGAAATTGTCTTTTAAGAGATCTTCGTTATAGTTATTTCTGTTTCGCAAAAATTGCTCATACTGCCTTACATCAGTTTTAGTTTCATCTTTCGTTCGTTTGCAAAAGCGGCAATATCGTTTTGAATTAAAAGACTGGACATAGCCAAACGCAGCATTGATAGCTAAATTGTCTCCTACTACTAAACCGAGGATAAAGTGTTCTTTACGCTGCTCATTGTTGATAACAAAATCTAAACCTTCTTCAAGAACCTTTATGTTTTCTACGAGATTATGAAATGATTTTTCATATCCACAAACTTTCACATTACAGCTTGATATGAATGCCCCATGAAAAATGAATTCAAGCTTCGACAGCAAATATTGCGGCATAGTAGGGAAACTAAAGTAGCACCCACAAATTGAGAAAGTATGCGTACCGAGAGCATTGTTGATTTGAAAATCATCAAAATATAAAATATAGGGAATTATTAAACCTGAACCAAATCGGGCATTAATTGCCTTAAATATTTGACCGCTGGCGAAATTTTGCAAAAAGGGTTCTTGAGAATACCGTTTTGTATTTTCCAAAGTATAATGTAAAAGATTTGGTATTTCAAAAATTGCCTTAAATTGAAAATATAAGGGCATAATGTAGATATCAGAAGAAGTGGATGCTAGAACGGGATTACCATGAGCAGTGGTTTGGGCAATTGATGTTTTTATAACTGTTGATTTTGGATCCTCGTACAAATTAAGAGCTTTAAGTATTTTAAGAAGTCTATGTTCAGATTTGATTTCTTGGAAGGGATCCTTACAAAACTGTAATAGAGAAGTGATATCATTGCGAGCCTCAATCAAATTATGATTGTCTAAAGCAGATTCTATTGAGTGAGACACGGCTACAAGAAGAGAAGCTATCATATTTTGAATTTCAATTACATATTTTCTTGGCATGTAGTTTTTGCTATATAAACTAAGAGACAAATGTAGTGCCTTCTTTCTTAAAATCGTAGTGTTGTTAGCGCTTGAACATTGAGGTATTTGCGTTTCCACCAGATTTAAAGATGAATTGCAATTGGTTGAAGCAGAAAATGATACGTTTTGATCTGAGTTCGTCGTTGAAACTGGGAGATTGAAATCGTAGGTTTGATCTGATGTCGAAGTGCAATTTAACAAACTAAAATCTGAAGCTACAAATGATGCATTTGTTCCCTTTGATTCTGTGTGTTGCTTTTCTAAATGAATTCGAAAAGTTGTAAAATTGGTAAAAATTTGTTTGCAATTCCCTTGTTTGCATTGGAGTTTGATAAGTTTTGAAGACATCAAATGATCTATCTTCAAATGACGAATCAAATATGTAGGCTCCTGGAATTGGGTGTGGCATTTAAAACATTCATACATGGTCAATTATATATTATTCATGTAATTCATAAGTGACACTAAATTTGGTGATTTAAGATCAAAAGCGGTGTGGATGTTATAGAAATATTGCTGGATAAAATTCCAGGTCAAAGCAGATGCTTGTGGATAATATAAGTTAAGAGCATGAAATATTTTAAAACAAGTATCTAAGCCTTCAATAAAGGATGGAAATTTAAACAATGTTTTGTCGAAGTATATATAAAACCCTTTCAACTCTTCATCTGAATGCCCTTCTACTAGCAAAAAAGGTTGAATAGTTAAGCCACAGGAGTAGTATTTTGCCACTAGTTCACTAATTTTGTTTTCGTAATCGTTTATGCATAATAAACGTACCGCGAAACTTTCTTGCGCATCTGCAATTGTAGCCTTCTTGCTGCATTTTCCGGAATTGTTTGGGAAACTCGCTGAGCACGGTAAAGCGCCATTGAGTAGCGATGCAAGTATAAAGTCTTGGGCATCTAAACAAATATTAATGTTAATAGTATTTTTGTAATGCTTTGATATCTGATGTATAAATTGCCTGTGTTTTCTGTTGTATTAGCCATCTGTAAAAGCTCCTTGCAGTAGTCGTTGCGCAATTCTGTCTCGTAAAACTTTATAACTTTCTCCTTAAAAGTCTCCCATTTCGAATACAACATGTGTTCTTTATTTGGGTATAACATATTAAAGTCCCGCTTTATCTATATGGAGTGAGATTTCATTATGATCATTTATTTTTCTCAAAATATGATTAACTTACCAGGTCTGGGCATCTTGCGTCACTATATATAGGCCAAGCCTTTAAGAATTCAATGTTGCTTAGCGTCTTCAGTTCCTTCTGTCGCATTCCGAATGTTTTTTGCCATTTTTCTATTACTTCAGTCCAATTTGAGGTATCTCGACATAATGCTGCTTTAAGGGCTGAAGCAACTGAATAATCAATTTCAGAACTTTCCTCTGAAATTTCCGTAGTAGCTGGTTCTGGGCGAATTGAAGAGTGAGCATCCATTTTTTTCTTCTTTGCTCTGCTGTTTGCATATTTTATGTAAAGCTTGCCAGAAGGGTTCTTCTTTCCATCGCGTGGTATAAAGTAATATTCCTGGCAGAAAATATGATCGATAATAATAACTATCGTATTGAAATTCAATTCTGATGCACACTTTCTTAAATTTTTTGCCTTTTTCGGTCAGTTTGATATTGAAAAAATTTATGGCATCTGTATCAACCAACAAAATAGGTCTGTTTAATGAACAGAAAAAAGTTCAGAGCAGGGCAGCTGTCAAAATAGAAACAGAGCAACTCAGGCTGTGTGTCAATTGGTATATTTTTTCGTCAGAGTAAAATGAGGTGAACAAATGGGTAAACTTTACGAGAGTGCACCAGGCTTTGGGAAAAACTACTTTGGGGGAATGGTAGAGGGGGTCTTACACATCACAGCTGTGAAAGTAGACCCGAGAGGAAATTAATATTTTAGTGTGTATATATATGGGGACCTACCAAAAATCTGATAAAATATATCAAATGTGGTACCCAAAGACGCGTATTTACTTCTAGATTAAGAATCTGAAAACAGAAATTAAATATCTCAATTCGATGAAAAGTTATCTACCGCGCAAAAGCCCCTAAAAATTACACTTTCCGGTAAGAGACCGGGGGTTTAATCCACAATGTTTTTGTGTGAAACACCACCGACGGCTATTTTTATTATTTTGACATGTTGTCCCTTTTCTAAAGCATGGTGCACTCTCGTAAAGTTTACCCTTGGTAGGGTCCCATATATATATATACACTAAAATATTAATTTCCTCTCGGGTCTACTTTCACAGCTGTGATGTGTAAGACCCCCTCTATCATTCCCCCAAAGTAGTTTTTCCCAAAGCCTGGTGCACTCTCGTAAAGTTTACCCTGTTTTGAGCATACTCATGAAACAAAAGATAGAGCAGTGTTCATTAAACACAATTTTATGAAATATCTCAACCTGGCGTAAGCTAGAGCAGCTCAATAAACAAACCTAATAGGGAACCAAATGTGGATTTTAAGAAAATAATCCAAAAAAACAAGTAAGTAGGAAAAACAGACGAAAAAGACGAAAACTTTAAGTAAAAGTTAAAAAAAAGTTGCCCAAATGGTCTCAAAAAACCGTGAGGGGTGTTTTTTTTTACAAAAATGTCCTGCTTGATTGCATTTAAAGTATGAACAGCCCTGTATAAATCCTTACCCGAGCGCGGCTTTCTTTTGGGAATAGTGCGCAAATCTCCGAGATAACGGCAGCGAAATCGTTAGGCCTCAAGTGGACGTTCTGAAAAATTATATGCTCCACAATTATGTTGATGAGTACGTCACGGTTTGCGTTTTTAAAGCACTGCTTAGTGGCGTACACTTCTAGTAGGGCTCTTCCCTTAGCAGTTTCATCCAAAAGACTTGATAAATCCTAAATATAGTAGACAAAAAATTAAAGTGTTTACTAAAAGTTGCTCATTAATTACTTTATTAAGACAGCCATGGACATTGGGTATATCTTGAAGAGGGGATGGCGCTGGAGATGAACTATTAAAGCTGCTTTGTTTCACCCATTTTAGAATGTCCGACCTTAACGAATCTTCTTCTTCACATTCAATACCAAACTAAAAATTATTTGAAAGAAAAAATCATTTCAAAATACTTGAGATAGGCTGCAAAGCACTACTTACCTCTTTCTTTCTCCATTCAAAGAGCTTGCTACGAAATTTTGCCCGGAGGCCAATCGGTGGAATAGCCTCCTTTATGTCATCCTTTTCTAGATACTGAAGGCTGTCAAAAGTTACCTGCGCATCTAGACTTATATATATATATACATATTTAAAATTAGAATTTGTTAATATTAATAATAATAGACAAACTTGCTTTGAAGGTACACCAAAACTTTTGCTAATCCATGATCGTTCAGCCATTCGACCAGCTTTTTTCTATCCTCTTCGTCATTGGCTTCATCGATGGACACATTATTTTGGTCACTTTCAGTAAAATTCACATTCTCGAGTGCTAATTCTTGAACAATTGCGCTTTGTTCTTCCATAATTGTAACAATTTCACCATTTTCGGTGGATAAAACACCGTCTTTTAAATTTAATTTAATCGACATTTTTTCAAGCACGTGAAATAATTTGCAGCAAAGAACGAATCAGCTGATTGATTTAAAATGTTGCCATAGGTATTGATTTAATAATGATTCTTATTGATTCAATGCATTGCAATTTTGCTCAATGCTGTTTCAATATTGATTTAATGTTGTGCAATATAGATTTAAAAATGTTTCAACTTAGCGTTAGAACCAATATCAAAAAATTCTTAAAATAATATGGTGCAAAATTAAAATAAAATTATTTCAATATTATTTTCGAAATAATTAATGAATACAATCAAATCAAAGTTGGAGATTGTTGAATTAATTTATTTAAATATTGTTTTTGCCCTAAGTTGAAAGATATTGAATTAATATTTCGCGATATTGTTTTTACAATGCACTTTTTGGCTCAGTGTTAAGGTTAGATCTATCACTTCTTGTCTTCTGCAGGTGACAAAAGTAGGTTTGTACATTCTGTATTACCAATTCAGAGTACAGAATATAGTGTAATAGCTTGTTCCCACGGAAGTAGCATTTCGTGCTACCCCATATAGTGTTTTGTGAGTTCGCGTCACAACCCACTATTAGGCCCATACCATTTGACTCTGCGTACTGCACAATGTCCATAATCTCCCCCGAAGGAGGGGGACTATAGAATCGTATGGCAGGTAAGCGGAGACTACGATGGCCTCGGTGCGTTTCCCGTCCGTACAGTACCCAATTTTTATCGCAACGACATCTTGGGAGCAGAACTCTCTAAGCATCATGCATTCGACCGAACGCGGCACTATAATGCATGCGCGCGCCCTTACTGTCCTTCTAAATTGAAGGACGTTACTCCAGGAAATCCCTCCAAGTCCACAGATATGCCCGAGGCATACCCATGGTTCCTGAATTAGGATTAAAAGTATTAAAAAAAATATTGAAAGTATATTTTTCGAGATATAACATGTCTTGTGTACCTTTTATACGAAAATGGAAAATTTCAGAAAATCCTACAACGTAATTGGAAAGCTAAGGAAAAACTACTTCGAAATGGTGTGTTTGGATTTTTTTGCGGCTGCAATTTAGTTTGGCATCCCCGGAGTTCGGCATTAAGAAGGGTATGGAACGATAGAGGAAGTTCTCCTGATTGTAAATATATATACTTTTAGCCGCAGCAGACTTATAGTTTTTAAGTTATTTGTTGTTAAAGTTAGTAAATTGAACTAACCTCTCGACGCTATTTCACACAATAAACACTTTATTTATGTACACACTTCGGCAAAATAGTTGCATTAAAAGCCCGCACAATGAAATGTAAACATATTTTTTAAATTTATAATGTATTTTTACTAAATTAAGTAAGTTTTAACAATTATCACGCACTTATATATGTATACGCACATTGTGAATACAGAACTGTTGATTCAACCATGGTTTCACACTGACATTAGAAGGGTGCTGGCACATCTAACAAAATAACACCACACATCTAATAAATAAATATGTTTTTTTAAACCATGTTTTAAAAAGTGAAAATTTTTAATAAAAAATCGCGCGATTTTTTATTAAAAATTTTCGCCTGCGGCGCTTTTTCCATAAAATCAATACTTCGATAAATAATAAAAATTTTTAATAAAAAATCGCGCGATTTTTTATTAAAAATTTTCGCCTGCGGCGCTTTTTCCATAAAAATCAATACTTCGATAAATAATGAAAATTTTTAATAAAAAATCGCGCGATTTTTTATTAAAAATTTTCGCCTGTGGCGCTTTTTCCATAAAAATCAATACTTCGATAAATAATGAAAATTTTTTATAAAAAATCGCGCGATTTTTTATTAAAAATTTTCGCCTGCGGCGCTTTTTCCATAAAAATCAATACTTCGATAAATAATGAAAATTTTTTATAAAAAATCGCGCGCGCGCGAGGAAAACGGGTACGATAAAAACTATTACCTTTTATTGTTATTTTGGTAGATGTGGCAGCACCCTTCTAATGTCAGTGTGAAACTATGGTTGAATCAACAGTTCTGTATTCACAATGTGCGTATACATATATAAGTGCGTGATAATTGTTAAAACTTACTTAATTTAGTAAAAATACATCATAAATTTAAAAAATATGTTTACATTTCATTGTGCGGGCTTTTAATGCAACTATTTTGCCGAAGTGTGTTCATAAATAAAGTGTTTGTTGTGTGAAATAGCGCCGAGAGGTTAGTTCAATTTACTAACTTTAACAACAAATAACTTAAAAACTATAAGTCTGCTGCGGCTAAAAGTATATATATTTGGAATCAGGAGAACGCCCCCTACCCCCCTATAGCCACCTTTTTTTTTGTACGCGGGGGATGCCAAACTAAAATTTTCCCTTTTTTGCGCACATTTTCATACCACCGGCGAGTTGAAAACAAGAGTATTTAGCGCCTGCGCGTCGCGCTAGGAGAGTTTTCGTGATTCTCCCCATATGGGAGCGACAATTTGGAATCTCTTATTTCGCCAATAAAACGATAAATAAAAAGCTACGTCTGTATTTAAGCGCATTTTCTACTGCAAAAAAAATCTTAAATTTTTAAATGAATCTATAGCGATTTGTCTTTTTTTTCTAAAAAAAAACACACCTAAATCTAAGTACAACTGTGGATCCAAAAAATTTACAAATAAGTAGTTTGGGGTGAGCCTGCTGTCAAGCTTAATTAGCGGCAAATCAGCTGCACTTGATAGCAGTAAGTTGAATAAGGAAATGGATTAGCAACAAGAGCTTACGGGGTGTGCATAGCTCAGTGGTGATGAGAATGTGTGGTGATCTCGGAAATAGACCGCTTAAACTTTATTGTTTTTTTTTCATTTTTCGTAACAAACAAATCGTGTTAAAAGGCTCAATAAAACTATTGTAATTTTACAATTTTTGGCCCCTAGCTTCGCGAATATATATTTTTGTGTGTGCATAATTGACTGTCAAACGTTGTTACAGTTGACAAAATTGTTTGCACAATCTTTCAAAATGTAAAATTGTTTTTTTTTAAGTAAGAATACATCATTAGTGAGATTTTTGGGACTGTTTCATTTGAACTAACGCGTCAATGTCAGGATGGAATGAAGATGGTTTTAATCTTTTATTTTTCTTTTCTTTTTTGATAGTATATTCAATTGTTTCTGATAGTTTTGGGATCGATTCGCCACCCACCTGTAAGCCTTCCGCGACCCACTAATGGGTCGCGACCCACCAGTTGGGAACCGATGGTCTATTGCATTTTTCAGACTTTTTCTGTTTTGAATAGTGATCTTGCCGCCGTAGCCGAGTTACTAGATTTGCATACTGTCACTCGGAAGGACCTTGTCCCAATTTCTGGTCCCAGCAACATCAAAAAAGTTTTTTAAATAGCGGTCGCTCCTCGGCAGACAATGGAAAGCCTCCGTTTGTACTTCTGCCATAAAAAACCTTTTTCGGAAATGGAGTAAAAGTGTCGTTCTATTTATTTGTACCTCAAAATGGAGACAGATATCCATGCCGTCGGTATGTAATTAAGCTTAAAACTGGCCATGAACGTGTTCATATTTATCAATTCACAGAGTTTTAAAGCGTTTTAAATGGTTCCATCCGGCCCCGCCGCTTAAGGGGACTTGAAGCTTAGTCCCTTGTAAATGGGTGTCCAGTAGCAGTTCTGCTTTTTCAATTCCTGTTATGATACATGAACCGTCTTGCTTCTGCAGAAGCCCGATCCAGTGCGATGAAGTCGACCGAATTTTCTTGACCAGGAAGGTTTGGAAGTACCCTCGATGCCACTACAGAAGTCACTCTAGGAAGACCTCTTGGCTTTCCGCAAAATCTTCTTGTAAGCACGCAAAAACTATTTATATCTTTGCCACTCAGATTCGTAGTTTAGACTTCTTACCTTGTTGAAATGCGTCCTGCAGGCTTTCCCGACTGCGTCATCCTCCCGAGACTACCAGAGGGGTTTTCGCTTGCCCCTAGGTCTAGGTTCAGAACAAGGCTTAGCCAAAACCTCTGAGAAAATCCGAGTAAGAAAGTTAACCATATTCTCCAAATCACCAGAGGTACTGGGATCACTAGTGTGCTAGAAGTAGTACCTTCATTTCCAAAGTGTGTTTATAGACATTCCAATCAATATTCCTCAGCTTCTTTCGCAACTGCGATGCAGTTAGTTATGTTCGAAGAAAGAGTGTTCGAAAATAATGTCGTTGCAGAGTATAAGGTCTATGACTTCTTCATGGGTTTTGACAACAAAAGTAGGTTCTGAGCACCTATAATTAAATTAGTTGTTAAAAAGAGACTCACCTATGCTATTGATGTTCGAGCTCCCCGCTATGCATTGTAAGCGTTAGCATCGCCTCCGATCAGAAGTAAGCGTGTTCTGTATTCTGTGGATCCTCAGCCTCATAGGGCATGTAAACGGAGGCCAGCATGATCCTCAGGTCTCCTACCTCCATAATGGTGCTCACAGTGTCACCATCGCGTCAGCAGAAGCTTGAAACCTACCGCGTATAGACCACAGACTGTTGAGTTGTTCACCCAGGGTTCACCCAGGGTTATAGAGGCGACTCAAAAAAGCATCTGAGGCTACCCTAAATCTATGGAAGGTGATGGCCACTACTTTTATTTGACGTTCCTGCCACCACCTCCGACCGCTACCTTGATGTGGCCCTGCGGCATCTCTGCACGCGGGTGGGATTCTAGGGTTCACCTGCAAAACTTTAAAAAATACATTTTCCAGAGTCCCCTTCACGTACTTTCATTGGTCTGGAGGGATGGAGCCGAGTTTTTTTGCTGCCGTCAAGATCCTGGATGAGGATTCTGTCCCTAGAAACTTCAGATATGCTATGCCCATCTGCCCGGAGTGCATCCGGATTTTGTTAGGTGGAGGCTATTGCTCCTCCACCAATCTTTGTCTCTTAGACGAGGATTTGTTTTCCACCGGAATCCTAGCTGTGGTCTGGGACTTCGGCAGCAGGGCTTTTGGCCTCAGCACCGCCTCCCTCGCACTGTGAGGTAGCTTGTCCAACCTCACCCCG